TGAAAGTGAGTTTAAAGTACGGTTGAACATCAATGTCAGGGTGAGCAAAGTCAATTTTTTAGTAAGTTATGCGTGATTCAAAGAAATGAACAGAAGATTTATAAATGCTAATAATTTATTCATCCAAAGAAGCGCATAAGTTTCCGTCAGATGCTTACTGATATATGCCTTTTTACCCTGTGTACGTTCTCACATTTTCAAGGTGGCACCGCACGTGAACAAGATGTTTAAACGTACTATCCTCAGTGACTTCGGTTCTCATGAGAGAAAAACTTTAACCTGGCGTCGAAACCTTTTCGACTATTTTTCCAGTCAGGTCTGAGGTCGGTGTCAGTTTTCTCAAGCCAAGATCGCCAGTGCCTGTTCGTCTTCGACGTTTGTGCATCATGTTATCGTATAAAATGAAAATTGCTGCAGAGACCGTTGTCACTTGATAGTCATATTCTTGGAAAGTATATAATGGTTGTTGGGTCCTGTCGAAAAGTGTTTCTGTGCATTCTCTTACGAAAGATACAATACTTTACGCAAGGAAGGTGATATCGACGTTGGTTAAGTATACAACGAGTTACTTTGGCGGTTAGCTTATGACAGTCAAAGATAAGATATGATTAATAGTTAGTAAGTAGCATGCCAAAGCCGTGGTTTAAAATCTATCAAAGCATTTGACAATATATCCGCTGGAAGTGTCGGTCTTCGATTCATTTTCAAGGATCGCTGTTCGTTTCGCGATGGAGGTCCTTCGCTTCTCAGGAAAATCTGGACCGGCTATATTCCAAGGTGATACAACAGTATATTCGAGCTATCTTATCCTCGATCTAATCTTTGTCCGCGTGCTGTGCAATTTTGTCAAATCCTCCTTAAGCGCCGGCATATTCACGACTGCACTAGCGAAGTGGTTATCTCTCAGTCACATGGAGGGGCACTAAGGAACTGAAATTCCAACTGAGACCTAGGTTTCTCAGTTTTGTGTATTGCCCTACTCAGTTATTGCAATGACCCTCAGTAATCGTTACCTTTCAGTTGATTAAGAGCTAGAAGGTCTGCTGTTTCATGCAGGAAACTGGGCGATACTATGACGTTTTGCTCTGCGGTTTGATTACATGCATTTTCTCTTATGAGCTACTCATATATTGCTACTGGTCTTTGTCTATAATTTTTTATTGACCTTGTATAAACCAGATGGGCATACTTTCAATATGGCATGATATTGTTTTCGTAGTTCGTATTTTTATTGCTGTATGTCTATAATTCGAAAGTTAATATTTTACCCTTCATTAATCACTTTACAAATCATGTATAAAGCAATACCTAGTGAATTTGTTCCTTTTCTTTAACTTCCTCTTATTCGTTTTTTACCAATTTGAATAAAACGGTAATGCATGAATATTTTTGACTCCGGGCTGTTGATGTTTTGCAGCTTTTTGTTATTTTTGTTTTTCTCTGTTTCAGATTCCGACAAGTATCATTCCATGACGTGTACGAAAGTTTGAAGTTCGTTGCGGAGCGTTCTGCAACTCACTGAATATGAGAAATATTTTCGAAGAAAAATAACGTCAATGGTCGCTTAGTTTTAGTGTTTATAATTCCGTTCCCTTTATGTGTTTGTATTTTACCGGCATTAGGTACAATTATGTCGTAATCATTTTTTCTTCGTATTTTTTATGAACAGACATTTTACGTAGTAAACTTTTTGTTGATTCGCCTTGATTTTGCTGGTGGCTGTTGCTCAATGGTAAACGTGTGCATTTTTCGAGGCATGGTGCGTCTGAAATTCGTTGCGCTTCCCCTGTTCTAAAACCAACAATTGTAACAAATACGTAGTGATTCAAATAATTAATTAAATTACGTTAGACGGTCGATTCCAATGGGATGCAGACTTGTCCCGTGGCTCTCTTTCTGCAGGTGCTGAAGCGTGAAAGCAGATATACGGTAAACAAGTTAAATAACTTTTTATAATAGATCAAGAAAAACCTGAACATCAGGCGAGAAAGAAATGGTAAAATGTCAAGCTACCAGTCAAAAACTAGCGAACACTATTATACACTCTTGAGGTAATCATGTTAGCAGAAATTACTTTACTAAGATACAGATGCCCAGACTATAAGGTATAAAGGTATGACTACATCTAATAACGAATGACTCCAAGACCAAATTTCAAGACGTACTGCAGCGCTCCTTTGCTGTTAGCTGTCTGGGGCCATTAAGCAGAGCAAGGTTCCGTAGTATTTGAGCACTACGTGATTTTGCTTGCTAAAGCCATCTACTCATCACACTGCTTCAAAAGCTTTGATAATTTTCGAAGACTCGCATAAACATCACCAATCGTTTGTATGCCCTAGTGTTTAGAATAAGGAATGACTGCTCTAAGATGCAGCGCAAGAGGACGGTGCAGTACACCGAGAAGCCTTGTCTTGGAGAAGTCATTTTTGGAAACAGAAGAACAATGTTAAAGGTTACATTTACTGGTATATGACTCGACAAATCGATTGCTTTCAATTGTGGAAAATTCGATTATCATCATCATCATGATGATGATGATGATGATGATGATGAAATTCGATTATCATGATTTAATATGTACAATGAATACCACAAAAACTACTCCCGCTCTATTTTTTAAATATTACTCAGATTTTTGATTCTGCGATCACAGTTATTCAGACAAGTGTTTGAACGATTCTTTGGTTAGGGCACCAAAAACAGTTTATTATCGATGCGTTCCGCTACTTGGACCGTAGCATCATCAGGGCTAAGCCCTGAATACCCGTCGGCAATAATCTGTTGCAGCATTTGTTGTATTTTTTGCCTTGAACCATGAATCGTTCAAACCCTTCTATTTATTTATCAGTCAGGTAGGCTACTTTATCGTCCTCCGCTCAAATATAATATACTTGGGTCTTCTGAGGCAGAACGTTTCCGATTATGGAAAATTTTACATTAGCGGTATTATTCTGTCCAAATTCATGTACGTACTGAAACAAACCGAATAAGCATCAGCCGTAATTTTGTGAAGAGTATAAATATTTGTGTCTGAAAATGTAATGCGAGCACTCTTGATTGCGAAGACCTCAACTGCGCAAATTTTTCAGCCGTGGGCAATACGTGTGAACATGTCTGGTCGCAACATCAGTACAACCAATGGTATTAGTAATAATAGCAACAGTACTGTCAGTATCATTGCCCAAACTACTTTTAAGACTACTGTTATTTTTGAGAATATTTCGTGCACTGGTTGTAATATCGAAATAAACAGTCAGAAATGGTTTGTTACTACAAAAACGGAACGCAGTCGCTCCACGATGATAGATCGATATCTGCGCGCAGCGAATGGACCACTATATTAGCTTGTGTAGTAAAACTGCATGCATTTTCTTTCGGTACTGATTCTGACTAATGCTTGCAGTATTAACAGCAGCATAAGTATAGAGAGTAGCAATACTACTGCACTATTACTAGCATTGGTGGGAGTACTGCAAACACAGTCATAGGTACTTCTGCTGCTATGTCATCACTGCTGGTGCTAAAACCAGTAGTGATTCTTACTACTAGCAACAACGGTAGCACTGAGAAGTCAAAGTCACGTCACGTGCAAGTACTGAGGAGTTGGACCCTGCATTATTTGCATGTGCCAGTGATTTCCGCTTCTCTATTCAGTTCGAACATTAGGCAAGTCCTGTAGTCAGTAAAAACATAAAAATCAAAAGGAACGATTATAAAAATAAAACAATCCAGCAGATGGAAAATTTTACACAAAAACACAGTAGACATATTTTCACTTACGTTTGGAGAACATGTCCGGGGAGACGGCGGAGTAGTCGAACGGTTCGAAGGACACCCATGGTTTGGGGAAGCGTTTCTTTTGCTTCTCTAACGGCGCTGAAAGGAGGTCTTCTTCGATGGTGCGCTCTCGTTTGCACTTTGTAGCGCTGCCGACATCCGAAGCTGATGCAGAACAACTGGGCTTCATCGCCTGAAGCATACATCTTAGAACAAAACAATGGCAACAAGTGAAACCATAGCCAAATGTAACTCTGGACAACTTTAACAGGTTTAAAGTGGAGAGGAGCGCAGCATCATACTGCTAAAAACTTTTAACTCATTTCACTGCCGCGTCACACAGTGACCAGTGAAATTATGTCTGTGTGTGAGGGGGAAGGGACACGAATGTGAATCTCGGTTATAAGGGAGAGATTGGATGACTGTTAGGCAGACATGCTTATACTATCAAGGCTGTGTTTAACGAAGGTCACAAAGAGAATTTCATCAACGCCAGCAGATCGGTAGCCAGTTGCGGAATGTAAAGGGACTACATTGGCTTAGAAATCAGCTTCAAGTGGCTCTGGTTTATCGCCCAAGCACACAACGTAATACACCTCAGCAATCCAAAATCCAGGATGCTGAACTCGGTATTGGGGTTTCGTACATATAAAACGACTTAATGAAATATCTTAATCTGATTGTAAGTTGTTCAAGCAATGTTTCAGACTCAATCGTATAAACGTTATTAATAACAGAGCACAGTGGCCTGTGCGTACAGTTGTTCGTTCACAGTAAAGCAACCTAAATACTGTAGGCATTCGATAAACACAAAGGTTGCCTTCCTGAGAAGTGCTACGCTAACTAAAAAATTCGAATTCTTCGCAGGGATAAAAAGAACCGGTTCAGATTTTCAAAGGTAACATTTTGTCCACCAGTATTATTAATTTTACGGTATACATGACAGTAAGAACAACATGAGAACAAAAACAAAATATGCGCCTGTTTTTCGATGCAATTCTTGATTTAGCAAACGTGACATTGAGTGACCTCAATATGCATTAAAGGTACACTCTCATAATCCATACTTCTTTCAGGTGTCCAGATCTCTTTATGCATTGAACTCTCGTACTCCGTTCTTACAAGGACGTTATGTACAGTGTTGCGTATGTAAATTTCTGACTGTGTGTATATGAATCCTCAGTCGGACAGGAACCGTTACGTGGTGCAAAAGAAAACCTCAGAAGAGGTGGCCGTATCAGACGGCACCAACGAAATCCCTGAGCTGGCGGGTCAAGTCTCACAGAGCCGTGCCGGACGGACGTCTTCTCCAAGGAGCAAAGGAAAATACTCTTACTCGAGTTCAACTATATCGTATGCCGGATGATTGATGGACTTAAACGGCAACGCTTCGGTACCTAAGGGACCGTAAGTGCCAAAGTGTAAGACCTCAACTGAAATAGGACTGAATTAAAACGATGAAATGGAAGCTGGTGGCGACAAGAGAGAAGTGCGTGGGCACAGATGCTAGGAATTGGCGATGCCTGCTAATAACGAACAAGGTTTAGGCAATTGTTGTTGTCGTCGTTGCTGGTATATGCATACAGTACATAATGGACTGAACAAAGGGCTGAAAAATCGATATACTATTAATGTAAATTATATCTGACCTTATCTATGGTACTAATCCAGTGCAAGCGATTCCTCCAAAAAACACTTGCTTTCGTTATAAAATAAGACATTTTAGCGAAACGAAGGGAAATCAGAATCGTTATGTCGCTTAATCTGTTCTGGTCATTATAGTTATTTTGGAGAGACGTTCAAAAATAGTTTACGACAATATATGGGCAGCTTCAGACGAAATAACCTCAGTTGTAGCCCAACACAGCATGACAAACAACTACGTCAACAATAGGATAATAGTAGAATAGTTACTTAAGTATGGACTTGAGATATGAGGAAGATTTTGGAAGTTATCACAGTGGAAAAAAAACAAAACAAACAAAGACTAGAAAAAAGTACTTAAAATTATGGTAATTAACATGCTTACGTTATGATATGCAACAATAAACAGTTGATCTTTCCTTTTTATGGGTTGGTCACTGGAATTGTAGATCATTTTGGAATGCCTTACTTAAACTTCGCTCAATTTTTTTACTATCCAAACGCAGCCACGATAGAGTACCATTTTACGCTCTTCGTGAAGGGGAAGGAGGGTGGGTGAGTGAAGATAAATATACCACCTTTGAAACCTTTATCAGATAACTTACCATGTAGGGATTAAAAATTTTTATAGAACTTGTATAAAAACAGCAGTTGCACTCTTCCTGATTTGGTATTAAATTATTTAAATAAGCAATTTATAAAAAGCATTCATTAAAATTTTGCGTTTCTGTAAACTACTTTAAAACCAGGGCCACGACATGAAACAGTACAATTATTACTCAAAAAATAATTATTACGATGTTAAAGGAACAGTGTCGTTGGCTTCCAAAAGCTTCGTGTTAATTAACTCTTTGATTTTCAGGTTTACCTATTTGATTGTAACAGTTCAAAGTCGGGCAAAGCTATTTCACATGTATAAGAATACAGCAGTTAGAAGGAACCAATTTTACTACGAAAGGATTTCTTAATTTTGCCGCATCTTACTCATCATATGATTCTTTAAAACAACTGTTTTTCCACCGTTCTCAGCCAGCCATCTACCACAGACCTGTTTCTACACTGGGCTATTCGGTCGGTAAAGCGTCGGACTCAGACTCCAGAGATTCCAAGTTCGAGCTCGGTTGAGTCACCAGCCTTCTTCCCTTCGAAATCGACAAATGCTCACCAGTCTGTGGGAGACAAACAGCAGCCTATACGCTATGCTTGAAACAATGCTGCAGACTCGGTCGGTACAAATAAAGCACTCCTGGGAGATGTACAGAATCGGAGATTAGCGCCGCACCATAAACTTCAAAAAATTGAACGACACAAATGGCCCCTGGCCATGAAAGTGTGAGGAAAACCGACCGAACCCAATGGCCAAAGACTTTCATTTTCCACAGGATATATTTGTCATCCACATGCAAATTGCTTTGCTTCAAGATCACTTTGTATTGATGATGATAAATCAAAGAGGGACAGCTTCAGGTCGAAAGATCACCAGTGCAATGCTTTGAAAATGCAACAAAGAACGCTACAATGACTTAATAAGTAAACTTTTGGCAAAGCACAGCGAAGACAACCGAAACACAGACCGCGGGGCAGATGACCGAATATAAATGTGAAACGAATTGCTGAGGTTTGAAATCTGTACTGAGCTTGTCGCTTTAGCAGAGGAACAGGTCCACATAGCACCTAACCACGTGATTCGAAGGGATTAGCAGCATTTTGAGCAACATTCAGTAACGGGAAGCGGCTTCAACTAAGAAATTACTGTAATTCTGAATTCCGCTATTCAGAATATCGACTGACCACCGGACTAGCTTACTTTGCTGCGTATATTAATGGGGGAGGGGGCAGAAGGAAAGACGGTTTCAAACATGGACAAACGAACTGGCATTAATCATTTTGCACCTGATCAACATATGTAAAAATATCATAAATCAAATTTTAACAATTCTTACGAAAGGAACCACTGCATTTGAGTCCCTTATTGATTTATTTTGGCTTTGAACAGTACAGTATGCAGATAAAAAATATACTGAATTAAAACAATTACAGTAAAGCTAGCTCTTTAAGAAACCTGTTCTTAACAACGAGTCGAGCGATTCAAATGAATTAACCGAAATTATATACAGTAGCTGACGGTTTTGTTCTCGGCGGTTGCGATACTTTGTTTTGTCCTTTCGATATGTCTTCTTGTTTATTGCTCGGAGCCGACGATGGTGTCTCCGTGTATTTTTTTGAAGCTTCCGTCGACGGCGACTCTTCGGCCGTTTCTACCGCACGCTTGTACGCGTCGAAGGGTAGTGTCCAACCTTCGGTTACCTTCGCGATAACTCGTCGTACGTCAGGTGCCGAATCAATCACTTTTCTTAATGAAAACACGCCCACATATAATAACAATACAAACAAACAAGAATCATATATTTAAGCAAGAATGTAAATAAAAAATTAAAAATGCAAGCCTCCTTTCAGAATGATGATGGCATGAGATCACATTATGCTATTAGAGTAGCGAGGAGGCGTGCATCTTTTATTACCTTCGAAGCAATCGGTATGGATCGACAACTCCCTATCCATCGCGTCCCATGCTTGTACAGCATCAGGTTTATGTGAACGATTACTGTAGCACAGTGTAAACGAGCAACAATGGCTATGGTACCAATCCTGACTAATGGTGCTCATCCACAACAAACATGTGTTCCAAAAAAACCTTCAAGGACGGCCTCCGTCTGCGCCGAATTCACTACTGAGCACAGTCACAGATGTCACTTTCACCACCCTTTGGAAAGTGACTTCCAACGGGTAAATCGGTTGTGATGGACACTGAAGGTAAGGCCGCGGGACAAACTACTGATCAACATCCATTTCGAAACTTTAAGGCAGGGTAATTCGCATCTACACTCAATATTACCTTCGGAAGCCACTAAATAGTGGCTCAGAAACCCGAATCTTCATCGAACATCTCGACATACTTTCAGTCTATGGAATAAGAACGAGCACAACAAACGAGTTTGGCTATGTTACAAGTTCCGAAATCGACCGTATAAGTTACAAAGGATGTTGCTTGGCTTCCATATTTCTAGATACTGTCCATGGATCAAACATTTTAACAAATAGTAATTAATAATAAAGAATTGGCCCAAAATCTGGAAAAAAAGTCCATTTATGAAGATTTAGAAAACAGAACAGGAAAAAATATCGGGGATAAGGGGGAACATCGCGTTCATTGAACAGACATTTTTCCGGGTTTCATTACTTTATTATTTTGCTACTGTGAAGGATAAATTATTATCGTCGCTTCTTCTGAGAATTTTGTTCATTTGTAGATGGAGATCGTGAAAAAAGAACATTGAAGCAATTTTATTCGGATGATTCTCAATGCGCCTTTAGCCAAAAAATTATTAAACACGCAAGGCAGACCGAAAGCTCCTTTTAGCTCAGTCGAAAACGAACAACCCGCTGCAGCAGGCAACGCCAAAAACAATCGATGACACCTTGACCATGAAGAAGACCCATGAGATATGCGCGATACATCGCTACGGTGGTGTATCACTCGAAAATAACTATATGGCGAAATGCGTAACAGATTCATTTTTCTCCCGTTAATTCCATTTCATCCATTAAGCACGACTTGTTCAAATATTCAATTTATTTTGCCTCCCCAAAAAAATTATTTTCAGTCCAGAAGGTGGACTCATGATAAAGAAATTTCGCAATGCATTTTTAGAAATTAACACGGAAAGTAGCTCTCAGCTTTCGGTAAATCACGGGATGCGGTAAAGAGGGTTAAAAACGAATGACGATTCAGATAAAGCCAGGATCACCAACGAAAGCGCAAGGCGATATAGTGTATTTTTTCTAGTCTGAAGACCTGCAGTCAATAGATGAGATTTTACGCCTCTAAAGAAAAATTTGTTTAAACGACTACCTCGACCACAAAAGTCAGATGAACACCAGTGGTAGGACTGTTGGCCATCGTCAGTCCATGTCTAGAAAGTTACGCAAAACCAACGCCTCATCGTCTCAAAGTGTCATCTGTCTTCCGGACAAAGATATGGGACCAAGCACTCGGTTTCACTGAGCCTTGAGCCTGTAAGACAATTTTTTACCATAAAAAATTACTGTTATATGGTCGAAACTCTGAAATTAGTAAATTTCTTAAAATTTTGCATGAAAGAGTTTTGGGATTCTGGATCCATGACTAGTTAACGTACCGCTTTTGTAATGCATGGCTAGGAAACCCAGAGATGAAAAGGTTTCACTAACAAGTGAAGCGTTTCGTTTTGTTACCATTCTCGTTAACATTATTAGAGAACCAAATAAATGAAAATCTCAAATGTAGGTTTTGACCCAGTAACAAAAAATTTTTAACATATTCCTGAGTGACAGTTGTGTAACTATAAAACATACACTTGAAATTTTTATTTTTTCAGCTCTACAAGAATGTCAACGACACGCATCCAGACTCCATACGAAACCTTGGCACCTCTCATTTGCATTGAGTTTCCAATCCATGCATCACGAAAACAGTCTGTTTCTTAGTGAAGTTTCATCAGACAATAAAGGCATTAAAAAACAACGCATCGGCAACACATTTGGTTTTTTGTGTGGGACAGAATCAAGATGAATCTCCTGTCATCCACTAACAAAAATTAGTTTAGTTATAATTTGAGTATTTCTTAATATAAAGCAAATCTCAAAAAAATGCCAACACTTTAAATGGGGTTCAAACGGCATGCAGATCGACACAACTCTACGGATTTAAAACCATACACTGGAGGTGATATAATACCATGAAGCCGTGGTCTGGTTCGAAGGGCCGTTAAACCTCTAGAAGCAAGGGAACTATTGAAGCTAAAAAATGAAGTGCACATCACATTGTATCGAAAGCTACCCCTTTCCAGTAAACCCAGAATATCATTCCTATACTACTGATTATATGTAAATATAACGTTTAAAGCGTAAGGTTAATTTGCTTGAGAAAATTTGAAATTTCCCTATTTTGTCATCATTAACTATCGCAGTCAAAACGATGTTAATCATATCGGTCAGATATCGTATTGCTATCACTTTTGTCGACAAGGTTTTCCCCTATCTTTTATTGATCTCAAACACCTACTGAAAGAGCGAGCTACTGACATAGCTGGAACTTGGAATAAAGGTCAAGTAAATATTTCAGCATAAAGTATATCTTCATGGAATCCCACGTAATACAGGTAATGAGGTTTATCATCAGTCCACACCTCCATTCTGAATACAGTTGGATGTCATAATGATGTAAAAGCTATTGCATTCCACGGTTATAATACATATAAATTTAATAAAGCAACACAAACATACAATGCTTGGACAGGTTATTTGAGAAGACAGATTTTTGTCGAGCAATTTATAGTCTTACTTTTGAAGAATGCGTACGATCGCAGAAACGCTTCTTGACAATACAGATTTTTGTTCATTCCTCAATCGGTTCAACACCATCCGATATTGCTTCCTCTGCGTCAGTGAAACGATCTCGTCCTCTTCGCTGTTATGTGAGAAATCGTGGGGTCTCTTCAGTTCAACCTGTGTGCGTCGCGCGAATGTGGCGATGTCCATTTCTCCGGTCTCCGCCTTCACAACAGCACAGAATCGACAACGTTAGAGAGCAACACGAACCGCCTCGCGCAGATGCTTACCTTCAGCTTCGCCAACGGCATGTCCCTGGCGTTCATGATGATTCGATGCAACTCGTTCAGTTCTTGCTTGACCAACGGAGGAACCGGGTTGCAGCAAGCCAGGATTCCCTGGACCTCGCGAGGCAGGATATCCGCGATCTGCATCATCATGTGATTTGGCAACACGTAACCCAGTGATTCGTCCTGAACACGAGCTACTCTGTTCCGCCAAGCGCATAGCTGCTTCAACGCGTACAGCTGACGAGAGTTCAGGTTCCGCTTCGCCTTCTCGCACAGTTTAACGTGCTCATTAGGAGCAAGTACTGGTTTGTGATATTCCTGCATAAGTAATCATATCAAGTTATTGTCATGAGTTTTTATAAACTATTAGGTTTCATGGTCCTAGAAGACAGATCATGTGAATGTGGATTACACCCCTTAAAGAATATCTTGCAGAAGAAGTATGTACGCTCCTGAAGGTTGCTTACGATATTTTTTAAAACAA